AAAGAACAACTCAAGTCAACTCAAGTTCTCAATGGCATTGCTCATGTCTACACATTATAAAAATGATATTGATAAGAAAGTATTTTCATTTTCTGGGCAAACTATCAGCATTTATATTTTGTTGTGGTTTTGTTCAGCCAAAGTAACACAACTCTTTCACTCCCAGTTAAGCACCAGCGTCCCCTTAAAAAAACAGCTCGTCCAACTCGATGCTTTGATGACGTGCCGCTGTGCACAATAGACTTGCGTTACTTGTTATTTAGAGATACAATAGCTGGCTGCGCCCCATAAGTACACACAGTCCTCTTTCAAGTTATTTCTGTACTCAATCTGCATATTACATTTTCACTTCAACTCACTGGCTTTATGACCTTTATGAAAGCCCCTTGTCATCCCAGAAGAAAAATAAAATCCAATTTAGGATCCTTTCTATCGGGCCGGGAGGTTTAATTAAGAATGAGTCCCTCAGTAGCAACCTTAACCCATCAGAACCGTGTCAATCTGCTCCGTGGATACACGGTGGAGGCCGAGCAGACGTCGTGCTGCTAAAACCAATTACTTCTGTTTAATCTGTGACCGGAACAAAGAAGACGTCTCGTGCCTGATGAATCGGCTTTAATCCCCGCTGTTTGCGTGAAGATGCTTATTGATCGGTGGAAACAGCCACACAGCTCTGCCAACAAAAACAATGTGTCATCTACCGAAAATCCAAACGGTTTGAGCGACAGGTTTCCATTACCCTGGAATAATGACTTCATCACGACGCTCCCAGAGTCCACAGTTTATTTACACGGCAGTGCCATTTAAGAATCTCATTAAAGCAGGAGAAAATGGGAACTGGGGGCAAGTGATGTGTTCTGTTTACCTCCAGCCATCCCTCAGTTCATGCTCACGTCTTGGTTGCTATTTAAAATTCCTTTGTTGGCTCATTAAAAACCTTCAGTCCCAAAACCAATGGGGTTAGTTTCCAGGCATCAGGCACGTTTGAACTTTTCCTCAGGAAGACAATAAGTATGGAGGAGGATGCCTTGGACACTACAATAGCGTTTATAAATGTGAACATTTCCTGTGACAAAATGGTTTCTGTCATATATTCAGCACCTCCATTCCCAATAATTTTCCATTAGCAAAACTGTTGCCAATTACTGTCGGATACTGTGTTACTTGTCTTACTGGCCAATGTATACATCACCCGCCATGTCAAATGTTCCTGATTCCTGATATGACAATAGGTGATGAGACCACGTATTTGTAACCACGGATCAGCGAAGGAGCATCGTTAATGCAACGCGAGACTCTCAGATAATATCTGAGAGTCTCGTTATGCTTGCATGCATGAATTTTAAATAGTAAATTCCATATTGCTGCATGGCATTGTGTTGTGGCAGATTGTTGTGCACAGTGTGCATGTGTGTGGAGGCCGTCTGGCGAGCTGATGTATAGCATCCGGTCCAGCGCCGCAGGACTCGGCTCTATTGGCTTCCTCCGGAGACGGGGACCGATTCACAGAAAAAAATCCCTTTTTTCCGCGAGAGGCGACCACGGGGGCGCGAGCAGGCCTCTATAAATCAAACGTGTATTTCCTCCGCCAGTCTCCACCTCCAGCAGGCTCTTTGAGCTCAGCTCCAACGGAAATGTTCAATCTGCCTCCATTCGTCCGACCGACTTGGAAAGAGGCATGACGGAGAGGATGGAGTGCGGCGGCTCCGATCAAAAAAATCAACCTCCCTCTTTTGCTAAAGTGCTGAGGTGGCAATATTCCACCAGTCAGGTGCTCACGTCCCCACCCCCCTCTCTCCCCAGGACAGTTAATATCTTACAGGGGATTTACACATGTAATAATAATATTAGCAATGACACAGAGCAGCTTTATACATTTGAACCAAAGAAAAACATCCTGTGATGGGGGTAAATTTAGCCCGCTCCGTGTCAAGCTGTAGGACTGTGCATTATTTATTCACGTGATGTTAGTCCCTATCGAACCATCATTTAAGCTCTCCGTAACATCCGGCTTCTTCCGCCACAGCTACGACAATTTAGCTTTTCATCAAGTGAGAACTTGGCTTTGGGGACTTATTTTCTCGAATGTTAGTTCAAAAAAGGAACTAACGTCATTGAATCGAATGGCAAGAAGCACGTGTTGTGCAACAGAGAGATCTGTTGAAATGAGCTGTGCTGACGGAGTGGATCTTGATGAGAAAACCAAATAAATCTGCTGAACCTAAATACTTTGAAGATGTTCATCTTCTGCAGGAATTCATCAACTTGAGGCAGAGAGCAAAACAGATTAAGGCGGGTTATTGAGACGGATCAATGCATTGGCAGTTGTTTAACATGAATGAATATGAATGGTGATATGAAACATATAGATCAAGATGTGAACACAAAGTGGGGAAAGGTTGATCATTTGAAGATTTGGGGTGAACAATTCTACAAGGTTAATTCTGAATTTATTGTTTCTTGTCTGAATTCAGAAGGAAAAGCTTTAATTGTTACAGTAATATGTATCTTTACTTTACTTTACTATTAGTTAATTAAAGAAAAACAAAGCCTTTCTTGTATCTAACTTTGCTTTCCACATTCTTTGTTCTGTGCTGAATAGCTTTTACAAACATCATAATGACGAGGCGGGGATCGCATTTCAGCCTCCGACGTACACATCGCGGAATGAAAGAGATGAGCAATCCTCAACCACACGGAAGCAGCTGCCTCGGCTCCAGGGAGTCACGACCAGACTTAGCAACAAAACATTTGTGCGGTGGACAAAATGGAGACACCTCATTCCCTCATCATGACCAAAGCTATTGGAATCTGTCTTCAGAGGAAAGAGTGAATAATGTTTGTTAGACTATTACACTTTTTATCACGGGTATGCCATTTTCGGAGCAGAGGCCATAAAAAGAGGCTAGTGCTTAAAGGGCTAAACTACAAAATAAAAGTTTAGTTAATTTAATTTCGTTTGTTTCCTATTTTGAGGACATATGAAACCTGACAAAAATGTAACTTCAAAGACTATTTTATGCTCCTTTCATCGTAAATGGAGGCTTAGAAGTCGGTTGACCGATTTGTTGACCACCATTGCTGCGCAGTGATGACATAAAATGAATTGTTACAGTAAAAGGATAAGGGGATCTTTGGCATGTGGTTTCAGCGAGAAAGCAATTCTGGAACGCATGCGATTACAACCAACTGTATCAACCGAGGCTCTGATTCAAATATCTTGTGAGTCCTTTCACCGGAATTGGCTTGAAGGCGAAGAAAACAACAACGGACACAAGTGCCTCTAGAACCAGCGCGCACACGTTGCTTTCCTAATGCGTGTGATGAAACACATGAAACGAGCGCACTGGGTTATGCAATTTTCTCAGCTCAGAATGCACGTAAGACCAAACCAACAATAGCAGCGACGGTTCTGCTTTTGGTTTGTTCTTTCCAGTGGGCTTCAGAGACCAGAGGCTCAGACTGTGGCTGAGAGGCATGTCTGACTGCAGACCTATAGGGCACTCTGCAGGCGGGGTGCCTCATAGGCTCCGCATGACTTGCTAAGGAGACGACTAGCCATTACACTTCATCACCCTTGTCATCATCATCATTATCATTGAGGTTGAATACTTACTAACTCTGCTACAAGTTGTTTTCGATTGAGATCATCCTGGAGTGAAGAATTCCTTTTGTGAGAAGAAGATATTCCTGAAAAGCCAGAGCCTCCCTTGGGCTAGTTAGGGCAGAAGAAAGGAGAACACCCACTGGCAATAACGGAGGTCCGAGTTCTTTGAAACTAGCACGTGGAAAAAAAGAAACTGAAGGCTTAAAGGTAGCCATGATGATGATGATGATAATGATGACCGTAATGATGATTGACATCCCCTTGAACATAATATAAAAGAGCACGTTTTACCAGCTTTGGGAATCAGCTTCTGGCGTAGAGAAGCAGCACAGTCGAGCCGTTCAATCATCTCCCACATCGCTGCTGTGCACGCTTTCATCCGCCTCCATCATGCAGGACCTTGGGGTGTGTCTGCAGCTGAAACACCGGCGGATAAACACACATTTTCAAATCAATGTGATATTATTGGCCTCTGTTTTCCCAAGTAATTGCAGCGCTTTCTGTGATATTCATTTGTCTTGGAGGCAAAGCCCCCTTGCTGTCTGAATTGTATCGTAGGCGCCGCTAACTCAAAGGAAGCAGAGGAAACCTAACCAACGCACAGATATAATTATGTGGCCTCCTACAGTATACGTCCTTCTTTGGCCTGATGGTCTGAATAACCAGTGAGTAGCAGCTGTCTTGGCGTCCTCGGTCCCCTCCCCCACTGTCACCCACACTCAACCGACCCCTCTATGGAGTGACGGAGCACTGCAATAATACATCGACGGTCCAACGGAGACTTGAGCAATAATATGGTATGTTTTTTCTTGACCATGCAGAGGTCTGAAAAAAACAAGTAGGTACTACATGCGGGTTGGTAGGCAGTGATCCTAAAACGTCTTGCTTCGAGCATGAAATGTTTAAAGGATTGAGTTTGAACAATAACGTTTTGATCAAGGAATTAATTAAGTGATTCATATTTTCTGGGTGCGGCTGTTGATTTATTTATCTCTCTTTAATTAGAGGGGGAAGTGACGTCAGGTGCAAAAAAGCCAATTCTATGCATATCAGGGTGCAGTCAGATACCTGAAACCTGTGCAAGTAAAACCCAAACTATGTGCAGGATTGTCTGCACTGCAGGGTAAATAAGAAGAAGAATATTTATCTGTTTATCTTATCCAGGAGAATTGGTGTGTTTTGGTATCGTGGTTCTAATTAAGGAATCAATGCTGCTCCCATCCAACCGATATGGGAGAGAGAGAGAGCGAGGCAGAGAGAGAGAGAGAGAGAGAGAGAGAGACGCTCACTCCCGCCGTTCATATCGGAGAGAGAAGCAGAAGGGAACGAGCGGCTGTCACCGCGCAGACATCCCCAACTTGTTCACGTGCAGCACGCGAGCCGACGAGAGAAAATCATCATTACACGGATTTATTTTTATTTTTACAAATGCCATTAAGCCCGTGACCGGTGACCGGAATGGAAATACATACGAGCCGACCGGGAGAAGTTGTTTGAACCGGGAGAGCGCACTGCAAGGAGAAACTCATGGTAGGGTTTATTATTATTATTATTATATTATTCGCGATGATTATCTTTGTAATTTAATTTCCGCCCATGCATTTATTTAGTTCTATATTTCAGTTGCAGTATATGTCGTTGCGCTTCATCTGTTTCATTCCTGACGGTGAAGTTCATGCTGGGTTTTCAGTGTGTGCAGAAATGGAAAAAAGTTTTTCCTTTGGTTGGGGGGGGGTTGTTTGTGTGTCTGTGTGTGTGTGACTGCATACAACCGGAGACATCGCCGATATAACGGGCTCCTTTCAGCGTGCAGAATGAATGGGTCACTATGTATTCTAATCTAGAGGCGACCCCGCTCGGTTTAAAGTGGCAGAAAGAGCCGCCGCTCCCGGAGAGAACGGAGCGCACTTCATGCGCGGTGGAACAATCGAATAAAGGGATATGATCAATTACGTCTTCTGTCGGAAACACAATGTAATCGCGGTGTCCATCTGGTCCGCGGGGGCTTTTATTCTAACAACGCGATATTCTGTCAGGCTTTTCCTTGGAGATTGTGCGCGAATGTTTTTGGCTTGCGTTCATCAGATGCGTCGTTGGGCTCGTCTGTCCGTGCGAGCCAAAACAAAAGGATCTCCCGCTGACCAATGGGAGCAGAGGAAGCCTCTGTTGGACGGCATGGTCCTCTCTTCTCTTTGTCCTGGACCTGAGACACGAAAGTATGGACCGCGTACCGCCGCGGTGGGAATGCTGGCCACACGGATCACCGCGCGTAAAACAAAGACATGTTCTCATTTAAAAACACGCAGTTGTGGGTGCCCGGTTGCGCGCGGAGACGCCCCATTGGATATGATACGCATTAGATGTGCGGGTGTTCATGACCCGGTGAGCCACCAAAGCACCTGCCATTTAAAGGTCCCTAATTGAGTTCAATTTGCAAAGGCGTCTCTCAGCAGACTCATTTTGAATGCATCGCAAGACATAACCGCCTATAATGGTCTGTACGCCGAGGCGGGCCATATGGAATCATGTGAGGTTGGATAAGTTTTGGTTAATGGTTACGACATGCCCTCGGGGTGCATCACATCTCACTTCCCCTCATTACTTCCTGCAGGAGTTGCAGGATTTTTCCACTTTATTTGACATTTCATAGATTAAACTAATACTACGTAATGAATAATTACTTGGCAAACTAAAGAGCACTTTCAGCTTTGAGGCACATATTTGACAATGTAATGCAGTTTGCTTACAAGTCGACACAGTGTCCGCGTGGGAAGCCGAGACCGTAGGCGTCGTGAAGCGAGGTGGGATGGATGATTAGGATGATTTAAATTCCACGGCTGGCAGCCACTTCGCCTTGGCTTTCCCATCGCAGATTTCCGTGGAGTGACTTTGATCAACTAACCCGTATATTTCCGCTTCTGATCACTCTTGATTGAGATAAATTCGGGCCCATGGAGTGTTCACATAAAAGAACTTAAGAGTAAATAAACAATGAATCACATTGGCACACGTTGTGGAATCTGCATGTGAAACGGGACTAATGAAGAGCAAGAGACCTGTGAATGAATAATAAAAGAGTTATGACATGAATATCCGATCAATTAAGAAAACAGTCTTTCAACCGGACCTGTTCTATGTGATCACAGCGGGAAACGCAGCTTTTAGATTGAATTTTCCCATCAGTGGCTTTCATTTGAGATTCCAGTGATGCGTCTTTTTTCAGTCACAAACCAGCTGTAGACTAATTATTGCCCCCACGGACAAAGAGGGAATGCCTTTGTTATTGAAATCATCGGATTTCTAAAAGCAAGGGTATTCAACCGGAAAAGGCTGACTGAACCTTTGGGAATTCAATTTAAATGGACCTTCTTTTCAGGCCACTTCATCATGCAAACCGGGCCGAGCGTGGAAACAAACACGCACACAAGGCCGTTGCCTTTTTCAGATTGGAGCGGGTAAGCGACAGTGATAAAACATATCCTCATGTTTAAACACATTTAAACAGCAGGCTGGATTAGGATGACACCAGTAGATGAAACAAGTGTTACTTCAAACCTGTTTTTCTGTTGTTGTTGTTGTTGTTGTTGTTTTTTTTGGGGGGGGGGGGGGGTCTCTGGGAATAGGCTGGCAAAATTTGATTGTCCTGTTTCAATGTTGGTACAGCATGGTGGCTTTCTGTGAGAATGGCGGGACAACAGCGTGGTTTTCATTAGCCGAGAAGTCCTTGATCCGAATGAATGCTAAATTGTCCTGCCATCCTGGATTAACTGCCCCGCAGATTTGACGGGCTGCTGCTCTCGTTTGTTCGTCCGGTTTGAATTTCAATTTGAGAGGAATTAGATTCAGAAACTTCTCAACGCTCAATGATTTAAATAAAAATAACTACAAATCCAAAGAAATGATAAAGATGATTACTTGCTGCGAACTTGCTTGTCTGGGACGTTTCGTACCAGTCGGGGCATCTGGCTCAATGTCTCATCCCGAGAACCGCTGACCAGTTCTTTAGTTTCCCTCGTTTCCCCCTGACTCGCACATTCCTGCCCCGCTCTGATCGCTACGTCACCCCCTCCGTTTCTTTTGGACCCGTCTCCTTCTTCAGCCCGAGAGCCTGAAGCAGCATTCTGCGTTTCTCAAAATGAAGCATTTGACCTCTTATTCAAGGGTCTTTTCTTTCAGTGTTACGGTAAGGTCAGTATCAAGTATGCGCAAGGGGGGGGGGAACGGGTCTTCTCTGGGTCACAAGGCACACGGATGGTTCATGGGGGCCCTCAACCGTGTGCATGCACCATTAACACATACCAGGGTCAGCTGACTTTCCTTGACAGACACACACAACTTATTTATACCAGCAGCAATGTGAATTTGCAACTGTCAGCAACACAGAGGACCAACTACCGGGAACCAAGTGACGCAGACGGACTGGGGTAAAGCTACACTTACGTTATGCTGTGTACATCTAGGGCTTTTATTGTGAAAGACGCTCTGCACTTTCCAACGCTGGAAGGAGCGATTAAGTTTGGCATCTTCGGCCGAGTTGTGGAGCCTCTGGGTGGTTGTACACTATACTGAACATTTTGAGTGGGTGATCGGCCGGCTCATTTATTCAACTGTTTATTTTTCCAATAATGGAATAGCAGATAATTCAAAGCCATATCTATTTGAGTTCTGGTGGTCGGATGATGAAACAACAGTAATTCATTAAGAAAACTAGCCAAACCTCCATTGGTTTCCTTTGCTCTGATGTGATGGCTGGCAGCGTTGAAATGTATTGCTGCAAGTTAAATATCGGAGGCCTTTAGGCACAAAAGCACTGTGAGGAGCATTTCTCATTATTTGAAATCGATAGACCAATCAATAAGAAAATAAAAGTCTCATTAGAGACTTAACGTTCACGCTTAACCAACCGAGCCGTGCACATCCGTCCTCGTCAGTATGCAGTTTATTTCCATCAACAGACTGTCAGACGCTGCTTTGTTTCAGCGTGCGTGTTTAAAGTCACGTGCCGGAGACCCGCTCGGGCGGCCCATCGAAAACACGGCGGCGAAGGTGAAGGCGCCATCTTTGGCTCCACTCCCCCCCCCGTCGCCAGTAACCCTTTGTTGCATGAATGTGACGGCCGGCTCCGGAGGTTTAGAAGGAATCTGTAGGGGGGGACACGACATCCGGCTGCCTCTCTCTCTCTCGCCGACTGCGCTCAAGTGCAGGGGTCGGAACTATGAACGTAACGGCGCACGCTGGAGGCCGGTGATGGATGGGTCCGGCCGATGGAGCCGCGTCGTGTATTCCCGATGAGAGAAGGGGATAAGCGGGCGGGATTTATGCGGCTGTGAAGGAGCAAGCACTCCAGGAGACGCCGCCCGACTTAAGCGGCCGTCCGAGGCTGTTTGTCACCGTGATTGATGAGCTTCCGGTGATTAAGCCGACATGCCGGCGGACATCAATCTGCTTTATCTCCTCAATGACTTGGCAGACAAGGAGGGAGCGTGGAAGACGGGTTCAATCTTGTCTTGTCACAGGCTCTTAAGGTGTAAACTACTTGCCGTTGTTTTAGGAGGTCGTTATAGGCCAACGTGAGACACTGTTAAGTCAGATGAATCCCATAAAAAATAGACATCTGCCTGTGAATTCAGAACCTCATGTGCTCTCTGGACAGTAGCTTCATTTTCACCTGTGATCCATTTTTTTTCAGGTGAAAACAATTAAAAAGATTGATGTATTTTGTACACAAAGACATAATTGCGACAAAAAGTCCTGCGACCTTTCCCGTGTGTGTGACTTGTGATTTGCAAACCCGTCGGAGCCCTCGTGGGACCTTGAGGTGCTGAGTAAGAAGGTAAATCTGTCGTCCCAGAGTCGCCGTGTGTCGCTGCCAAGTCGGGGGAGGTTATTGCTTGTATTAATGACGCGTGGGAACCTAAACTGGCTTCTATGTCCCTCGCCATCTGTTCCCAGTTGTGGTGTATGGAGTCAGCTAGTGGTTTGATTTATGGGACTGGTAGTGGGGGGAATATTATTACTTATGCAGGGAGAATTGTGTTTACGACCATGTAGAAATCCCTGTTTACTGAATTACACCACTGGTCATTATTAGCATTTAAATTGGTGGATTTGTTTTGAGTTAAGTTGTAATAGTTAAGCCTAATTGCTTTTGGCCTTCCCTCTATTTTGCATGATTTGGGGGTTTGAAGGAGCAGGTTGGGAGGCAGCGCTCCCCCAAGGACGTGCAGGAGAGACGAAGACGTGAGATTCAGTGTAAATATTCTGCTTGAGGTTAAGGTCAATTACTTAATAACTCAGCACCCAATTGCTGCTATTTACCACCAAACTCTTATTCCTTCTCAGTCATAACTCTCCAACCGACATTGACAACCCCCAATTAAAACTGATATATACGCCCTCAAATGCCCTGAAGGTGTTTCCTTCAGCGAGACCATTCAAACAGAGGGACGAGGTTGCGATTCTCGTGTGTCTGAAGTGTAATTTGAATTCCTACAAACGGTCAAAGCTACTTTCTTCCAGCCTTCATACCT